TCATTCTGATCCACGCAAAAACAAAAACAATTGTTATCACCAATTAAAATACGCTCTCCCGAATTTAATCGGTGACAATTGTAGTAAATTATTAAACATTAGTAATGAAGGAATTGTATTAATATGTGGTCATTGGTATCATTCAGAATGTTATAATGAAATGGAAAGAAAGTGCAAACATTGTCTAGAATATTATAAAGAAGGTATATGGAAAAATGTTAGAGTTTTTAAAACGATTAAATATGGGCACAGATAAATTAACAGGTGAAGATGAACAAGGAGATGATGAGCATGATTCAGAAGAGGAACTTTATCATCAGCTAAAAATGAATAGAAAAGATAATTTAGCATTAGCTTTACAAAAGACAATTGATGAAATAAATAATTGGTAAAATATATAATTAAATATGAAATAAATATAAATACTCTCCTGTTTAATTAATACTAATTATTAGAGGCGCCACTTAATGACTGCTAGTTATAATAACTTTAAAGTTCCTACATGGTTGATTGCGTTATAAGAAAAGAAAACTGTACTTTCTTATATCAAGATTGTGTATGTTAAACATACTGTTTAAACCAGATGTAATATTTTCATAAGAAAAGACTGTTCTATAAAAGTCCCAAGTGAATGCGATTTTAATGCGATTAAAATTGTTTGCAAGTAATTAAATTAAAAGGCAAAATGTCTGTCCATCTTTAACATGTAATGTAACCAAGCTAGCACATGACCACTTTTCTTATTTAAACATATGAAAATTGGTGCAAAATTTCATGTGACGATCAGCCAATCAATCATGCTTTGATCAACATATTTATACTAATTGATTTTATTTGATTTCCTTATCTAACACCCCAACGTCTTATGACCCCTGTGATTCTTTTGTGTCACTATGTTCACTGATATAATACAGTAATACTATGATATTCTTTTTTTCTTCTAAATTCTCTTAAAAATAAAACAAATAACGAAATGAATAACTTGATTCCATTAGTAAACAAACTTCAAGATGTTTTTAATACAATTGGTAGTGAGACAGTAGATCTACCACAAATAATTGTGGTTGGGTCACAGTCTTCCGGTAAATCATCAGTACTTGAGAATATTGTCCAACGTGATTTCTTACCTCGTGGTTGTGGAATTGTTACTCGTCGACCGTTGGTACTTCAACTTGTCAATTCACCACCACCTGACGACATTGAAGCAGATTCAAAAGCAGCAGAAGAGTATGGCGTGTTCTTGCATGAGCCAAGTCAAAACTTTACAGATTTCACTGAAATAAGAAAAGAAATTGAAGCGGAAACTGTTAGAGTTGCCGGTCAGAATAAAGGAATTTCAAGGTCACCAATTCACCTAAAAATATACTCTCCCAAAGTTCTCAACTTAACTTTGGTAGATCTTCCTGGGTTGACCAAGGTATGATTTGATATTTGTTTCATTCACAAATCTTTTTTTCTTTATAATATTATGCATACTTTTATATATTTATAATTAATAGATTCCTATTGGTAAGTCGTTATTTCTAATTAATCATTCATTCCTGAATATTGTTTATTTATATTGACATGTGTATATTAACTTTTATATATATATATATGTTTGTGTAAATAGGTGATCAACCAACTGATATTGAAAAACAAACAAGAAAAATGATACTTGATTACATAGAAAAACCAAATAGGCAAGTTATTGTCATTATTGGAATATAATAATAATGTAAATACGTAAATAATTATTCTAATTATTAATTATTCTATGATGTAGTATAATTTTGGCAGTCAGTCCAGCAAATGTAGATTTAGTAAATTCAGAAAGTTTAAAACTTGCAAAGCAAGTTGATCCAGAAGGTAAATTATTTATTTTATCGTTATTTTTTTTTAAAAAAATAATTAAATCTTGTCTCTCTAAATAATAAATATTAGGAAGAAGAACAATAGGGGTATTAACAAAGTTAGATTTGATGGATGCAGGAACAAATGCATTAGATATTCTTACTGGTCGCGTATTTCCATTAAAATTAGGGTTTATTGGAGTGGTGAATCGGAGTCAACAAGATATAATTGGTAATAAACCAATGTCTGATGCTTTAAAATCTGAAGCAATTTTTTTCAAAAATCATCCAGCATACCGAAATATTGCTACACGATTGGGTACATCATTCTTGACAAAAACTTTAAATAATGTAATTTAAAATATATTTTATTATTTTTGTGCATGATTATTTATTATTTGAAGTGATTTTTAAATCTTTTTTAATTATTTTAAAAAAAAGATTTTAATGAATCACATACGTGAAAGATTACCAGATATAAAAGCACACATCAACGCACTCATAGGTCAAACAACACAAGAATTAATGACTTATGGAGATCCTGCGCTTGATGGAAAATCAAATAAGGTTTGTATATTATATTTATGATATTCATGATATTGTATTAATAATCATTATGATATATATATAAACAGATAACTTTATAATGATAATTATAATAATAATAATAACTATATAATAGGGAGCATTAATATTAAAACATCTTACAAAATTTGCAACCGACTTTGTAACTTCTATTGATGGCACAACAAGCCATATTTCAACTAAAGAACTGTATCCTTATCTATATATCTATTTATTTATTTGCAATTATAGATGATATAAATATATAAAATATTTGACTTTAATATCTTTAATAATATAATACAATGGCGATTTTAATAAATTAGATGTGGCGGTGCACGTATATATTATATATTTGATAGTATATATGGAGCAGCATTGGAAACTATTAACCCATGTGGAAACCTTTCAGTACAAGATATTCGAACTGCTATACGTAACTCAACAGGGCCAAGACCATCATTATTTGTTCCAGAGATTGCGTTTGATTTGTTGGTTAAGCCTCAAATCCAATTACTTGAACAACCTAGTTTGAGGTGTGTCGAACTTGTATATGAAGAATTATCAAAAATATGTCATAACTGTGGTGGTTCGGTATGCATGCATTGGATTATTTATTATTATTTGTCAAGTGAAATAGTAACGACATACATAAACATATATAAATGTATATATAAATAAATTATTAGGAATTATTTCGATATCCACGATTACACTCCAAGATAATTGAAGTGTTGTCCGATCTACTTCGAGAAAGACTTACACCTACATCAGCGTACGTGGAAAGTCTAATAAGTATTCAACGTGCCTATATTAATACAAATCATCCAGATTTTATTGGTGGTGGTGGCGCATTATCTGATCTTTTAAAGAGAAACGACAGGAAAAGAAAAGAATATGAGAAATCAACTAGACGATCAAATAATTCAAGTGCTACAGGGGGCGGCTCTTTGTTAAATAATAATAATTCATCATCGTCAATAAATAATTTAAAGGATGATGGACCAGATGGATCATCATCACATTTTGAAAATAATGGCATTAATGGTGGTAAAGATCATAATAATATGATGGGTCATCATTTACAAAATGGTGTTGGTGGCAGTAGTGGCAGCAATCACCAAACATGGGCACAGCGTGAATTCTTTTTGACGTATTTCTTTGGTAGTGGTAATAAAAACGATAGAACAGCATTACCTGATCAACCACTATCATCTACTAAAAACGGAACATTTGCTAAATCTAGCATAGATATCATAGAATTAGAGAAGAAATTCGAAGGTATCGCTTTGGATGATCATAACAATTTATCTGAAAGAGAAGAATTGGAAACTCAATTAATACGTAAGTAGTGACACACACAAGAAATTGTGTGTGTATGATATATATGATATATACATTTATTAATTCTTTAATTAATTAATATCTTCATTTATTAATAACCTTCATTAATAAATCACTGATTATTATTTCAGGATCACTTATCTCATCATATTTTAATATTGTAAGAAAAACGATTAGAGACACAGTGCCCAAGGCAATTATGCACCTATTAGTCAACCATTCACGTGAAGAAGTACAGAATCGATTAGTCTCCGAGTTATACAAAGATGATTTATTTGATGAATTGTTACAGGAAGATGAGAATTTGGCGAGCGAAAGACAAAAATGCAAAACAATGTTAGAAGTTTATAGAAAAGCTTTTGAGATTATTAACGAGGCTATGTAATATGTAATGATGAGTTTTGTGGTTGGAGTGATTGTGTATGTATATGGGTGTTGTGCGCATTATCGTGTTAATTAAATTATTAAGTTATTAAGTTATTATATTAGAAACTATATATTTTTTTTATCATCATTATTATTTATATATTTTATTTTCTTTAGAATATTTTACTACGCAAAAAGATATTCTTGTATATAAATATAATTATAAATATAAATCATCTAAATTTTTTAAAAAATTATATTCTTTTATTTTTTGCAAAAATGATCTTTTAAAATATTGATTTGCATATATATTTTTATTTTCACTAATATGAAATATAAAATAATGAATGATTTTGAAAAAAATATTTTTGGAATGAATGAATGATTGAATGATTGATTAATTTCTAGAAAAAAAATGGGTGTATGTATATATGTAAAAAATGAATTTAAATTGATATGTGTGTATATATATTATATTATTTGTGTGAATGTGTGTACATTATATTAATTATTATTGTTATTGTTATTATTATAATTATTTACTAAATTACTCTAAATATTAAAATAATAATTTTAATACTAACATTAAACAAAATATTTTATTATTTTAAAAAAATTTTGTAAATAAAAAAAAATTATTATATATATACTGTTTAAAAAAGCTATATAAAAAAAATCTGAAAATAATTTTTTTTTGTATAAGAATTATTAAAAAAAAAAATAAAAATACTAAATAATTATAATAAAACTTTCTTTTCTTTTTTAAAGAAAAAATTTGTTATGATTCCTTCAAACGAATTTCATATTTTCCTTCTCTTAGTAAATTTATTTGAAGTCTTGTTTTGGATCCATCTGGTTTCTGTATTACCACCTAAGTATATAATCATAATTATAATTATAATCAATTGATTGATCGGTCATTCTCACAAATTTCTCTCGCCAATAATTAATCAATTAATAGTTACCTCTGAATCAGTTGCGGTGATAAATTTAGCAGTGTATCGACCAGTTGTCGAATCAATTATGAGTACGGCATCACCTCTAGCAAAATAGTGTCCACAGTAATAAAAACGATCTCCCGATACATATATGTTAGGGTCTTGTTGTTGCGATGTGGTGGCGGTGACGTTGTTGGTGGCGGTATTGTTGGTGGCAGTGGTATTAGTGGCAATGTCTTGATTATAGTTTTCCGCTATTGATGATGATGGTGATGATGGTGATGGTGATGATGGTGATGGTGGTGGTGATAGTTCATTTTCTATAATAGTATAATCATTCAATATGACAATATATTCATAATAAATATTAAAGGCAATATAAATATAGATAATAAATAATATATATGATATGAGACATTAAATATGTTATTTATTTTTTTACCTTGTGCATAGTCATCCTCATTTATAATCTATATTGTATTAACAAAATTATTATAATAAATTATTATGATATAAGAATATTAAAAAAAATTTACCCCTAAAGCGATTAGGTCTTCGTTTTTTTCGCTTTCATTCAATGGTTCTAACGGGGTTTGTAAGTCTTAGTTAAGAATAATAATAATATTTAAAACATTAAATATAATAAACGAAGTGACAATTATAAATGGTAAATAATGCGATGCTATATTAAAAAAGGATATTTCCTGGGAATCCATAATTATTATATAAAAATTCGCAATTGGAGGCAACAATTTCTTTTGTCCTTCTTCGTTTCACAAGTCGTTCACGGTTAGGTATAACATAATCTATATAATATCAAGTAATAATTAATACGCGTAAAAGAAGTAAAAGTAGAAAGGAGACAATAAATAATGACCTTCTTCATCCAAAACATCTATTCGTCGTTTTTCTGTCTTGATTCTACACCTTAAATCCTCTAATTCTTCTAGTTTTCTTTTTTTAAATTTTCTTTTTTCTGACTAAAAAATCAAGAATAAAAATTAAAATGATCAAATACATTAATTAATCAATAATGAATTAAATCAATCAATCAATCAATTAGTTTATATACAATTAATATTTTAATTATGTATATTTACATTGAATTCACAATGCGCAACAAATTCATCCGCTTTATAATCTTTTTCAATAAGTTGGACTGTAAATCTTTTTTCGGCCATTATCATCTCCAATCGTTGCTTCTTTCTTTTTTCGATTTCTTCAATGCGAGCAAGGAGTTCAGGGTGCGTACCTAGTTAGTTAATTATTATTTTCAGAAAAATTTTTTTTCATGAAATGATTATTTTATAATTGAAATTACTATTATTATTTTTATTTTTGCAATGTTCATTTCAAATATTAATACATTCATTCATTCACATTTACATTAATTGATAATCATATACCTTGTTTTATCATTTCCATTTGGTTTTCCAAATCAGTCATTTTGTCAAATTTGTCACGATACATACTAGGTAAAGGCCTTAAAATTTGATGTTACTAGTATTTTTCTAATTCCATTAATATAAAATATAAAGTATAAAAATAAATTTGACAAGGATATGATTATTGGCTAATTGCATGTGTACTACAACTCTAATGTTTGTGTAATTTTCATTTTAAAAAAGTTTATTATTAAATTTAGAAATTTTCCCTAATTTTCTAGTAAATAGTTGCACAAAAATTTCATAAAAAAAAAAACTGAATAATAAATAAGGTTTTGCAAATTCAAACCAAAGCTTTAGTCGCTGAGGAAAGATGTAGTTGAACAAAATACTCTAAGGGTTTAATGAATAATATCAATAGATGAAATTTCCCCATTATATAATTATATGGAATTTCCAGTTTCTAAATCCCTAAATAAAATTAATCAATTAAAGCTACAAATTTCATAATTTCCACTATATATAAGTATTATTTGTAAAAATTTCTTTTTCGTCATTTATATGGTAATGTATTGCAAATTTTGGAAATATTAATGTAACTTGTGATACGATTTCCTTTTGATTGGTTAATTTATAGGGTTTGTTTGTTTTTGTTATAATATGACATAATTTGACATAACTCCAATAATATAGCCAAAGAAAAAAAAAAATAATAAATTTCAATTTGGTGTTAAATTCTATTTAAATCTCTGATTCAAACTCAAACTCAATGGAGAAAAAATCCCACTAATTTTAATCACTGAAGAGTGATAACCTGAAACTTTGTATTCTAGTATAATTCTTTTAAATAAGCATTTATTGGGGTATATTTCATTTCCTCACTTGCTTGTATAGGTTAAATAACACCAAATCTTCTATAAGCTGAATATTACATCACAATGTAATTAGATAATGTCAGTCAAGAAGAAAATGGAATAAACATACATATACAGATAATTCTACATATAAAGAAAAGTCTTCTTTCAGAGAGCAAAACAAAGGCTTTATTGTTTGTCATAATTTGTGATAATATTTACATGATTTATAATAATGTAAATAAAGAACAATTTCTTTCATGCATATACGGGACTATTAAAAACCATTTCTTTGAAATAAATGAATCCTTGTTTCCTTACATACTATGGTGCGGGACCTCTCAAACCACCAATTCTGTATGTGATATTTAAAAGAATAGAAGTTCATTTCTGTATATCATTTTTTTAAAAATAGCTCAGTTATGACATAGATTAGGACCCAAGCTTTAATGTGATAGAGAAAATATTGATGGATTGTTGAGTTCTATTCCTTTTTAGTACATATTAATATATTTTACTGTGTTCACGGAGAATTTGGCACTTAAATTTGGACGGAAATTATGAAATCTACAAATCCTTTAAATTCTGGTCAGAGTTAAAAAAATCGTGTAACAGTAACATTAACGGTCAATATTTTTTATTTTACTCAAGTATTCATTCCAATAAATTGTTTCTAGGTATTAATTAAATATATTAAATATGCAAATTGATGTTGTGTGGCATCACAGATTTAAAAATATTATTGTATTTATATATATATAGATGAATTGAAAAGTTTTAAAAATTTTGAAAATTTGGCCACGAGGCGCAGTAAATGATGATTTAAGAGGTCCCGTACCATATACAGTGCGGATCATCTATACTCAAAAGTTAAAATTTTTGAAATATTACGTGATCCACACATTGGATTTTAAAAAACCCGCCATCATTCAATTCATCTTTAAAAAGGGAGTCTATTAATCTAAGAAAAAAATTTGTCTTAAATTTTCTTTTCATAAATTTTTTAAATTTGAAAGTTATGCTCAGAAGCGCAACTATAATTTTCGTGTTACAATATTTTGAATCTCACGACCAAATTTGGTAATGATTTTCTTTTAATGTAAATATATTCGTTAAACTTTTTTGTTTTATTTATTATTATTAATAAAAAAAAGGAAATAAATAAATCAAATAAATTAAATGTATGTTGTAGAAAATATTCTATGAAAAAAAAGTTGTTATACGAAATTTACTTAGTCTCAATTTCTTAAATGTATAACAAAATTCGGAATTTTCAAAATGCTAAGGCTCTGCCAATTTTCAGTTTAAGAAAAAACCAGCCAATAAGTTTTGAAGCTTGAGTCATGAACAATAAAACTTATCAGTTAAATTTTTTAAAATGATATAATTTTTTTTTGTTTTAGTATTTTGAAGTTGACCAATTGTTACTATAAGCAAATAATGATTATAGATGATCTGCACCATATAATCTTTTTTTAAAAAAGCATCATTTAACAAAATGTTTGCTTTTAACACTGAATTTCTTTGTCTTAACATTTTACTTTATCACAAAGCTTATAATGAATAAGTACTTTGCTGTCAGCATAGGTTTTTTGATAACCATGTAATAGCCCTGTTTTATATTAAGTATAAGATATTGGGCGCGCAGTGGCCAATATCATGACATCCTGGATGTCACTGAAATTGTCCATCGCACGCCTAATATCAATGTTATCGGGCAATCACTATTAAGCTATTCTTTCAAACGTCACTGTTTATTAAAGTTTAATTATATGATTTAGTTATATCTTATAGAAATGTTGTATAAATAGTATATCAATCATATTGACATCATTTTGTGCC